GAGGAAGATAGCAATGTGAGGATTAGATTGATCTTGAAGAAAGAGATAGAAATGGATCTTCAGGAGGAAGATAGCAATGTGAGGATTAGATTGATCTTCAAGAAAGAGATAGAAATGGATCTTCAGGAGGAAGATAGCAATGTGAGGATTAGATTGATCTTCAAGAAAGAGATAGAAATGGATCTTCAGGAGGAAGATAGCAATGTGAGGATTAGATTGATCTTCAAGAAAGAGATAGAAATGGATCTTCAGGAGGAAGATAGCAATGTGAGGATTAGATTGATCTTGAAGAAAGAGATAGAAATGGATCTTCAGGAGGAAGATAGCAATGTGAGGATTAGATTGATCTTCAAGAAAGAGATAGAAATGGATCTTCAGGAGGAAGATAGCAATGTGAGGATTAGATTGATCTTGAAGAAAGAGATAGAAATGCATCTTCAGGAGGAAGATAGCAATGTGAGTATTAGATTGATCTTGAAGAAAGAGATAGAAATGGATCTTCAGGAGGAAGATAGCAATGTGAGGATTAGATTGATCTTGAAGAAAGAGATAGAAATGGATCTTCAGGAGGAAGATAGCAATGTGAGGACTACATTGATCTTGAAGAAAGAGATAGAAATGGATCTTCAGGAGGAAGATAGCAATGTGAGGATTAGATTGATCTTCAAGAAAGAGATAGAAATGGATCTTCAGGAGAAAGATAGGAATGTGAGGATTTGATTGATCTTGAAGAAAGAGATAGAAATGGATCTTCAGGAGGAAGATAGCAATGTGAGGACTACATTGATCTTGAAGAAAGAGATAGAAATGGATCTTCAGGAGGAAGATAGCAATGTGAGGATTAGATTGATCTTGAAGAAAGAGATAGAAATGCATCTTCAGGAGGAAGATAGCAATGTGAGGATTAGATTGATCTTGAAGAAAGAGATAGAAATGGATCTTCAGGAGGAAGATAGCAATGTGAGGACTACATTGATCTTGAAGAAAGAGATAGAAATGGATCTTCAGGAGGAAGATAGCAATGTGAGGATTAGATTGATCTTCAAGAAAGAGATAGAAATGGATCTTCAGGAGAAAGATAGGAATGTGAGGATTTGATTGATCTTGAAGAAAGAGATAGAAATGGATCTTCAGGAGGAAGATAGCAATGTGAGGATTAGATTGATCTTGAAGAAAGAGATAGAAATGGATCTTCAGGAGGAAGATAGCAATGTGAGGACTACATTGATCTTGAAGAAAGAGATAGAAATGGATCTTCAGGAGGAAGATAGCAATGTGAGGACTACATTGATCTTGAAGAAAGAGATAGAAATGGATCTTCAGGAGGAAGATAGCAATGTGAGGATTAATTAGATTGATCTTGAAGAAAGAGATAGAAATGGATCTTCAGAAGGAAGATAGCAATGTGAGGATTAGATTGATCTTGAAGAAAGAGATAGAAATGGATCTTCAGGAGGAAGATAGCAATGTGAGGATTAGATTGATCTTGAAGAAAGAGATAGAAATGGATCTTCAGGAGGAAGATAGCAATGTGAGGATTAGATTGATCTTGAAGAAAGAGATAGAAATGGATCTTCAGGAGGAAGATAGCAATGTGAGGATTAGATTGATCTTGAAGAAAGAGATAGAAATGGATCTTCAGGAGGAAGATAGCAATGTGAGGACTACATTGATCTTGAAGAAAGAGATAGAAATGGATCTTCAGGAGGAAGATAGCAATGTGAGGATTAGATTGATCTTCAAGAAAGAGATAGAAATGGATCTTCAGGAGAAAGATAGGAATGTGAGGATTAGATTGATCTTGAAGAAAGAGATAGAAATGGATCTTCAGGAGGAAGATAGCAATGTGAGGATTAGATTGATCTTGAAGAAAGAGATAGAAATGGATCTTCAGGAGGAAGATAGCAATGTGAGGACTACATTGATCTTGAAGAAAGAGATAGAAATGGATCTTCAGGAGAAAGATAGGAATGTGAGGACTACATTGATCTTACAGTAGGCTTGCGGTGCACCATGTGAGAGAGGGGGAGGATTGGGGAGTCCTAATCTTGAAGAAAGAGCTAGAAATGCATCTTCAGGAGGAAGATAGCAAGTACGTTCACACATGTACCCACGCTGTAGGACATCCTACCTTGGAGTGTGTGAAGATGACAGCCTGCCAGTGTCCCAGGCTAGCTATAGTCCAAGGTTGTAGGCATTGTTAACAGGTATCAATAAAGACCATGAATTGCTCTACAGCGTGCTATGGGAACAAACTTGTTAGTTCATTGTGTTGTGGTTTGTATCCTTCACACATCTGAACAAAACCAGGGAAAACATCTCAGGTATGGAGTTCAGAAAACAGTGTCACCCGAATAGTTTTGAAAGTATTCACTATGATGACAACATCAGAAGTAGTAATCATGTACTTCCTTATCTATGTATATGTATTATGAACACAATTAATACAAATAATTGATGATTATCTGCTCTTGATACATTCATTGTTATTCATCATTTTGATCAGGTTCAAATCCCACTGGTTCCAAGATTTGTTCCGACTTGTTTTCAATTAAAAGATCGAGCACGCAATCTTTATCTGCTGGATACAAGCCAAAAAAATATCTTGACAACAATTGAAACTTCTCCAAGGAGGCCTGACAATTAAAATACATTTTGATCTCTTTTCAAATTTCACTGTGCAGGGCAATTCAGCTCAAATTAGATTGTTCACATGAGAGTTACTTCCTCTTGCTTTAATATTTATTTCCTCTATTTGGAAGTAGAAAGTAGAAAGTTATGTACAGCACAGTCATTCATTAAACATATCAGATTAACAAAAACATAGTAGTCTCATGTCGTCTAGCTAGATACTGGATGCCCAAATTGACCAATGTGTGCTGGAAATAGCTTTGTTTTTGTAATCAAAATATTGTTGCTTGAAAATATAGTGTGCTTTCACAAATATGTAAATTCTCAAGGCCGGTGGTCATTTTTGTGTGTGTGTCTCTTGTATCAGCCACAAATTCTTTAAAGACAGATATAAGTATAGGTGACTAAAACATATTGTATACCACAGAGGTTACTTTAAGCTCCTTGATATAACATATTATTGGCCATTAAATATAAGATAATATAATACGCCATTTTCGGTTCAGATTTTTAAAGAAATACAGGTTTTCATTTGCATGTTGTGTCTTGTGATGTATTATGTTCTGTCATGAAATGATTGAATGTCATATTATATATTGTTTTGAAATCAATTACACTATTTCTTTAAAGTTCAAATCATAATTGAGTACCACAGAATTGTTTTTTAGTTGCTACAAAACAATTGTAACACATATTGTGTATTTGTAAATGTTGATGTTATGACAAATAAAACCTTTCAAGATAAAATTAAAAATAAGAAATTTTTAAGTGTAATCAAATTTAATGCACAGATCTTTGTTAAGTGCCTCGCTGCAATTATTTCATCCACCTGTAATGAATAATTGTATTTCAATAGTCAGAATGCAAAATTGTAAACATTATCTTTTGCTAGGTAGGACAAGCCATAATGTTTGTCCTACCTAGCAACAATTAATGTATGCAATTCGCATTCTGACTTTCGAAGTACAAGTATTTGTAACATGGCACTCAACAAAAACTTATGCATTAAATTTTATTACATCATGCAAAATGGTCTATTGATATGTAATGTAAAACAGTCTGCCATTGGTAGAACATCCTTCAAAGTACTGAACAGACTGAGCATCAAATTGTGTGAAATTAACAGCTGTTAGGGTAAATACACAGATTTTTAATTCATAAGCTGTTTGTCTATATAAACAGCTGTACATGTAGATCTAGTTAATCTCCAAATTGATTAAAAATAAATGGTACTCGATCGTAACATGAATGTATTTTCTTTACAATATATCATGCAATACATAAAGTATAAAACATTAAATGATGCCTTTACATCCAGAATTGAGAAGTCAAAGAGTGCCCTCTATGTCAATATACAGACCATTTCTAACTGTATTGGTGTTGTGTAGGGCTACTAATGCTCTGCTGCATTGAAAATGTTATATTTTAATTGAATACATTCATACATGGAAATCATCATTGTGAAGAAATATGAACTAGAATTTAAAAATATGAACTAACACTCAAGAAAAGGATTCCTGAATGGAATGGATATATGAAGTTTGAATACCCACATTTTGTAATTCAGAAATACCGGTATAAATAGGCCCAACGAAATATAGTCATTTGGTTAAAAAAAGCTGCCTGTTAGGGGAAAAAAGGGTGAAGTACCGGTACATGTTTGTTCTTGAAAGAATCATCATCACGATTAGTGATGCCTAAGAGTAGACTTTGGCAACAACTTTAAACTAGAGGTCAGACAAATAGTTTTTGTAATCGGTTTAAATTACATGTAATACTAAAAATATGAATTCTTTTGAATAGTGGCAGCTTTAGCATTTTGCTAAAGCTAGGGTAATAATTTCCAAAGCTCTTTGGAAGTGCATAGGGACGTTAAATTGTGATATGCGCTGTACACGAACAGAATATTGTAATTATTATTTTTCTTTGATATCTCATGTGTGAAAATTATGGTTGCTATGGTATCAGTGGATGGATGGAAGCCTTGGAGAAAGCTTAACCCTGAGTCGATTTTTCAGTATTTAAAAAAAAAGTAATGATGTTTGGATGGATGTGATGGTTATTTTACTGCTAAGAAAGCATTAATGCTTGTAAGTAAGCAACCAGACGGCTGATGGCTTTAGGTCCTTTCCGAGGGACCTGGTAATGAGGATTAATGCCTTACCAAAGGGCACTTGCGCATCGTCTTGGTTCGAACCAGGATCATCGGATTACGAGACTACTGCTCTACTGACTGAGCTATCGCGCCTCCATTGAAGGTGTTGATGTGAAGCCTTTCTCAAACTGTTATATTATTTACGTTGATTTAATGAAGGGAATGCATGGTAATGATATGAAAAGGTGCGAGGAGGTGACTTTGAATGACTTACCTTTATGACAGTTGTTAATCTTGTCATCTCGATCCATGTCTTTCCAGTCTGAACAGTCTGAAAAGTCCCCTCCTACTGCATTCACCAAACCACACAGAGCAAGACCATCGTTCCAATCAGACTACAAACAATGAAAATACAATTCATTGATCAAATCTAGGGGTTATCATTCAAGATGCACCCAGGATATAGACCTTCAAAGCTAGTTGAAAAACTTGCTCTGGCAGCTTTTGTCCAAAAACAAAATGTAGTCATCGAACACATACTTTGGAGAAGAAAAACAAATGTCACATCACAAATTTGGAGTAACTATGAAAATACTGGTCCTGTGTATTTTTTTTGTAGAATGGAAATTGAATTAAAAATGTTTCTTCTCTATGCATTCATATCTGCAATGAGTTCACTGGCTGCTCCAATTTTTTTTTTTTTTTTTTTTTTTTTTTTTTTGGGGGGGGGGGGGTGCTAATTGTAATTCTTAAGCTCTAAAAACAATGCCATATATGCCACACTCCATGAATCAACAATTAAAAGCTGTGCTTGTTATTAGTTTTATGGATTCATTTGTTTATTAATTAAATTATTCATTCATTCATTCGTTCAGTTGTTTTATATCATGTATCTATTTATTTTGGTTGGTCAATAGGCTATGTACACAGTAGTCCACTATTTTATAAAGTAAGGACCTTGCCATCGAAACTGCTTGTATCATTTGGTACTCTAATCTTCATGTTTAAATATAACTCTGGCAATAATGTTTACTTTAAATTTTGATGTACATTCCTATAATACTCCTCAGAGTTGTCAATCTTGCACAACATTCCTTTCATTTTAATGCCATCCAACATTGGAATGCTCTTGATAAGAGCACTAAAAGCAGTACCACTCTATCCCGTTTTAAAACGCTTGTCATAATCCTTTTCTGCTCTTACTTAAATAATGTTCATAATAACTTGTGCAATATTTTTCTACTATTCTTCATCTCTCTTCATTCCTTTCCTAATTTTCTGCCTCCTTCTTTCTTTCTCTCCTTCTCATGGGTGTGTGTGTGCCTATATTATGCTTGTTATGATTTTGTATTACATAGTAGCGCCGATTAGTGTACATTTGGCTGCACTGAGGCACTGCTTCGGCCGAGAAAATGGGTTTAGTCCGCTAAGCCCATTGTTCTACTTGTGCGCATAATTTTAAAGCTGGTGAATGCTGACTGGTGCTTTGGTTTAGTTTAGTTTAGTTTACATTATTATCTGTATTTTGTTATACAGTTCTACTTGTTCTTTTGTAAAGGGAACCTCACTTACAAGCTCAAGCTTCTTTCAGGTTCCTTAACCATTTTTTGCTTTGTACGTCAAATATGTTTTGTATATATCTTTCGAACATTGTTTGTAATTTTAAGTGTTTTTTTTTTAATGGTTGAACCAAAATTAAATGAAATTTATCTTTACTTTCTACAGATGGTATGGAAGCTGAGCTGACCTTAAAGTTCTGTACATCTTCTTCTGGAACATTCTTCCTAACCCAGTTGAGCGTAGCATACCATCCCGGTCCTTCATGCTTCAAGAAGTATGACAAGTACGTCATGCCACTCAACTCATCCATGTGTTTACTGCTCAGATCCTCGGGTGACACCACCATAGGGATGCTGTACTTCTCATTGGCTATCTTCATGGCTTCACGGCAGTTCTCAAGACCGTTGGACTTGTCCAGTTCATGCCAGTTGGTCATCAGGGAGGGGTCACAGTAGTTCAAAATGGCACTGTGCATGGTAGAAACAGAAACATTGTTGTTTAGCTTGTACATTCAAACCTGCTTTAGCGAGCACCTGTATATAAAGACCACATTTTTTGTTTCCCTTGAATGTGGTTTCTCATTTGAACATGTACTAAAGGAACCTGTACATAAAGACCACCTGCCTATAAAGACCACTTTTCATGTTTACCTTGAGCGATCTTTATGTACAGGTTTCAATGTATTCAATAAATCAGATTAAGTTGATGCATAAGAACATTGACAACATTGAAGTATGAAAATTAATTCTAGGAATTTTGTGTACTTGTACGGTGTATCCATTGAAGTTAATAGGTGGTTATTTAATATGAAAGGAAGAATTTTTATGTTGCACATTTAATGTGTGTTTAGGGATTATACAGTTTTCTTGAGAAGAAGAAGAGCTCCAACACTTTTAAAGAACCTATTCTAAACTCTGATACACATGGTGAAACTGTCTAACTATATTATGTCTGCTGTCATTCAGATCAATAATCCATCTTAAACCATGCAAGGCTTGAATTCCAAATTCAGTCATCAGTAGTAATACACATATGATAAATGCGAATGAGGTCATTATACGATTTATCCACACTAGAGTTGAGGCTGTATGCATCTATCGTACGAAGCCTTCAGTCATCATACGATAAGTGCATACAGCCTCAACAAGTCTGCTTTGTTCAGTTATTATGTGATGTTACACGGGGTGAAGAGATTGTCCAAATGAAACTCTAATCTTTATCTGCCTTGTGCAGTCATTCTAGGCTGTTACCCTAGCTTGTGAGTGTCTCAGAGACACTAGGTATGTCCACATCAGCTCTAGATTGCCAAATAGCCTGTTATTTCTGATTTGGGAAATAAGCCCAAAGCTACAAATCGTGTCTTCATCAGCTCGAGCTTGAGATATTTCGCTCAGCGTTCGCGCATAGTGTGAGTCTTCGGGCTGGTGAGGACGCACCGGACAAAAGGCAGGATATTTTGCAAACTAGCCCAAGATATCTTGGGATGATTATCTCGACCAAATATTCTGATTATTGCAACTGCGGGCTGATAAAAATGCAAACTAGCTTGATAATTTGCGATCGGGATGGTTAAAATAGCGGGTTATTTGGCAATCTGGAGCCGATGAAGATGAGCCTACTGTGTCTTAATGATAATAATGATAATATATGAGATTTATAAGTCACCAAATCCACTTGAGATTAAATGCTCAATGCTCACTTGTGAGGAGAAACAAAGAGATCACATGAAAGCATCTGCACTATAAATAAAGGAACAGAAGTGAGATTTAACATACAAAAATGACAACAATTAATTATATATTTGCCAAATTAAACAGATGCGTTTTAAGATTACTTCTTAAGACTTTAACTGATCTGCTATTACACATCTCTTGAGGGAAAGCATTCAAAAGCATGAGCAAAGGTTCCCCCCCCCCAAACACACTTAATATCAAGCTTAGTAAGAACAAGAAATCTGGAGTTTTAAGGGCAAATAGATCTGGACGGAATGTGATGATTTATCAAAGTAATGATTTATCAAAGTAATATTATGGAGTGTCGCAGAGTCTACTTTGTGCAGTCCATTTTACCTGAGAATGATTCCATTATTCCAATCTGATGAGAAGTTCTTGACGACTCCTGCATCCTCTGGAAGTACACTGTTGATCCATTTCAGCATGAGTTTCTTAGGAGGTACCTTTGGGGCACTCTTTTGCTGAGGGGGAGCCGTCCCGTCCATGCTGCCATTCTGAGTTACACCTGGTCCTCCCCCTCCACTCAATTGAAATCTCTGGATGATGCGCCAAACAAGCCCAAGAATCAGCTTCAGGTTTCCCTCAACAATGTCCTCATTCCCTGCAACATAGAGGAGCAAAGACATGTTATATCTGGGGGTGTTTCACAAAGCCTTTTTTCAATGACAAATGACAACAATCAGTGACAAATATGTTGATAACCAATCACAAGCAAGGATTTTGGTAGCTTATAACAAAAACCGTCTTTTGTCACTGATGACAAGTTTTGTGAAACGCCCCCCCCCCCCCTGGTCCATTAGAATTAGAGCAGTTGTCATTCTGATAAACGTTTTGGAAGGCAAGGAATTCGACCAATACCTGTCATTTCTTAAATATTAAGTCTATCATTATCAATTATTTCATTTGAAATATGTTCATCACTTGAGCATATATGTATGATTATCTGTATGATGAATACTTTGAGAAATGTTTTGTTCAAATGGTGGTGTGAGAGGCATTATATTTTCAGGTTTTCCATCCACCCATATAAATTTCTTATTCCTCGGTATCTCAAGAGTATTTTGAGACATACACTCTAAACTCAGTCTTAGTATCACCATAGGGAGGTCAAGGGATTACATTTGTGGTTATATCATATGTGTTACTGGTCAAAGATCACATTAATATGTCGAAACCCTTGATTTGAGGATTTTTCTCTTGTGATCGCAAAGTTCTAAGAACCATTCGAAGCATTGACTTCACAATTGGTACACAAAGGTATCACCAAAACCAGAAGACGAACTGATTTTTGGAAATGTAAGTGAAGGTCCTATACATCAATTTGAATACAATGATACGCTATTGGATACTATGTTTGTTATCAAGATAGTTGAAGAATCATTCTATTAGTTTTTAATTTCAAGATTTGAGTAAATAAAGTGACCTCAGAGACATTGGGTTAGGGGTCACAGGGGTCAATTTACATGGATGATGATCTAAAAGATAATTATAAACGAGATATAATAAATTTATTCATGATAATACATGTTCAATATAAGACAGAAATAGAAAATCAATTTAGGAGGCACTTAGGAGATACTGACATATTCATCCTTTTGTTTCTATTCATATTTTCTATTCAGTCATATTCAGATGATTTTTGAAAAATTTATTTCTCATGCAAAACATAATACAATGAATAAGTCTGATATTTCTGATCACCTCCCCATATTTGTTATTTCCCCTACAATTCAGTTATTTAAACATGAGTCCATGAAGTATATATACGTTCGGAAAGAAACGGATGCTAATATTCAGAGCTTTCGGGCGGACTTAGCATCAGAATCTTGGGTTGATGTATTTAATTTAGTAGTTGCAAATGATGCTTACGATATATTTTTGAATAAATTAATGTATTATTACAACAAAAATATACCTTTGGTTCGAATTAAGTTAAATAAAAAAAAGGCTAAGAAACCATGGACAACGAGGGGCATTTTACGATCGATTGCGACTCGCAATCGATTATATAAGAAAGCGTTAAGAAGTAAAGATCATATTGATTTAGATAAATATAAAAAATATAGAAATAAGTTAACATCTATTATTCGGCTATCCCGCAAATTATATTACTCAAATAAAATTGCGAGTACTCAAAACAATAATTCTCTTTGGAATATTATCAAAGATCTTACGGGTAAGAAAAAACATATTAATACAACCATTAATGTTAATGGACAAGACATTAATAATTTGAATGAATGTGCTAATTATTTTAATGAGTACTTTGTTAATGTAGGTCCCACATTAGCCTCTAAGATAGATGCTGGCAACAATCATTTTTCTCAATATCTTTTAGAACCCTCTGAAAATTCATTATTCTTTACTCCCACAACAATTCATGAGGTAGTTAGTATAGTTCAATCACTGAAATCAAGCAAGTCATCAGGACCAGATGGGTTAAGTATGAATCTCATTAAGCAAATAATACACTTTATTGTTTCTCCATTGGTTCATATATGTAACATTTCTCTTTCTACTGGTTCCTGTCCTAACTTATTAAAAATTGCTAAGGTTATACCGATTCATAAAAAAGATGACCCATCCAAACTTCAAAATTATCGTCCCATATCATTATTATCAAGTATTTCAAAGGTTTTTGAGAAATTGGTATATAAAAGATTGATCTCTTTTTTGAATAAGCACGATATTTTGATTCCTAACCAGTTTGGATTTAGGAAAAATCATTCAACTGATTTTGCTTTAATTAAACTTTGTGATAAAATAATTGAATCTCTCGCAAATAAGAAGCATGTTATAGGTGTTTTTATGGATCTGAGTAAGGCCTTTGATACCATTGATCATACAATCTTACTTCATAAACTAGAACACTATGGTATCAGAGGCCTTGCTCTATCCTGGTTTGAGGACTATCTTAAAAATAGAACACAGTATGTTTATTATCATTCTAATAGTTCCTCAAAATTGAACCTCACATGTGGAGTTCCTCAAGGCTCCATCTTAGGCCCGCTCTTATTTTTGATTTATGTAAATGATATAATAAAATCATCAAATATTCTAACTTACATTCTTTTTGCCGACGATACAAATATACTTTACTCACACAAAAATATTGATACACTCGTTGATACTGTAAATCATGATTTGTGTAATATTTCAATATGGTTTAAATGTAATAAATTATCCTTAAATATAAGTAAAACTAATTTTATCCGTTTTAGAACTATTAACTCCCAAGACCAACCACAATGTAATTTGTTTATAGATGGTTTATCCCTGGTAGAAAAACAATCAACGAAATTTTTAGGAGTTATTATTGACTCAAATTTGTCTTGGAACGAACACATTCATAACATAAATATTTTGATATCCCGGAATATTGGTATTTTGTATAAAATGAAATGTTTGATAAATGATAGATCTTTGTTTATGCTTTATAATACTTTAATTTTACCATATATAACATATTGTAATATTATATGGGCAAACTGTAGTAAAACTAAAATAAACTCAATATTTCTTTTGCAGAAGAGAGCAATTCGTATTTGTACACACTCTAACTATCTTGCAAATTCGAACCCGTTATTTAGTCAATTAAAAACATTAAAGGTTTATGATATACATACGCTCCAAACTGCCATTTTTATGTATAAGTACACTTCCAAAACTCTTCCAGCATCTTTCTTAAACTTTTATTTATTAAATGTAAACGTACACTCATATTTAACTCGACATGCTCATGATTACCATCTTAATAATCCCAAACTTAGTTTAGCCCTACGATCAATTAGACACCATGGACCAGATATTTGGAATAACTTACCGAACCATATTAAAACTAGGACCTCCCTTTATTCTTTTAAAGCTTATATGAAAGCATATTTGTTAACTCAGTATAGTTTACTAGATCTTATAACATAGAAATTTAAAAATTATCTAATTTGTTATGTCTTGAATTGTTCTGTCTTTGTCAACAGAAATGGACCCTGCATACATTTTAATATTATCACCCGTATCTGAAACCAACACACAATTAAATATCACGGTATTAGTCTCTTTTTGTTCCACCAAGCTAAATTTTTTGCACCTTGCACAAATGCACTTCTCAACACGAAATATTTCACTAAATTTGTTTTGTTATTTTCACTCAAAATTAAATCAGCCATGCTCACTTTTAATCACTTCACTTATATCTTATTTAACATTGAATACAATGCAGTTGCATGGGTTGTTCTTTTATTTTGTTAACTCGGCAGAGGCCACGGTCATGTTCAAGCATTTACGCTTACGACATGTGGTCTCCTGCTTTTTCCTTTTGTAACAGTATGAAACTTTTATTTAAACTAGAAACAAACTTTGTCAAACTTACATGTTATTCATTATATTCATTTGTATGTTTCTTTGTATTGATATGAAAAAGTGGAAATAAAACAAACAAACAACAAACAACAAATATACAATGAAAGTTGAAACGACAAATCTAATAGAAATAGCACGAGAAAAGAAGATCTAAATAACTGAACTAACTGAAGTATTAGTTCCTCAGATGCTGTTTTACAATATATCTTGAACAAAGTATACTTAGAAAATCAATAAATTGAAAAATATGTAGCAAAGAAATGATGAATTATACAGGATTGAATAGATGCTCCTTCACACACTACCACCCCTTGGGACTGGAGCTATCCGTCCAGTAACAGGTAATCTAAAGGGGTTAATTGTCAAGTGGTTGAAAGGGAGCTAAGATATGTATTTCCTGGGTTTCTGTTCTTCTCCTTTGTATTGAATGATTACAAAATAAATTCTTTACTTTGACCTATGTGACTGTATACAAACATATGGTCCATATAAAAAGAGAAGCAGTTTCATGAGCAATGCTTCAAGTTAAAGTTAAAGATTTACTAATCTCAACACCACTGCATACATTATTTCTGTCTATTTACAGATAATTTTGGACTTTGCTCAGCAATGCAGTCCAAAGTCCTGATATTTGATCACCCTCCTCCCTTAGCTAATATCAAGATTATGTACACAAATATTATATTGTACCTGTAAAGTGCTCTAATAATATATAATTTATTGGATTTGTCTTTTGGTATCCGATCCACCTTTTCAATGATATTGCCACCAATTAATCTAGGCTTGGCATCCTACTCGTACTACTCATATTTAAACGGACCTGAAGTAAATGACTTATATGGAGTTGACGTGTTCAATTGATTATTTATTGTTAAATATGCATTATTTAGGCATACAATATCTTATAGGTTCCTATAGTTAAAACATTATTGAATTGAATTGAGGAAAAAAAAATCCTTTTATTTTATCATTTCCTTTATTGAAAACAATTATCAATGAATGTATTGTATCACATATTCACATCTTTAATTTCATATACTAATCAACATGTATTTTGCCTCGTAGTCATGAGTGAGACATATGTTCTTTATCAAGATTTATACCTATGCCATTATCATTTTATAGGATATATTTTTATTTTTAACAACCTAAGAATGCTGATGTAATGTTGATCTGCCTATTCAAAGATAGTTACTGCCACCAATTGATATTAAAGAGACCTAGAGCACATGACTTATATAGAGTTGACGTGTTAAATTTGTTATTTATCGTTAAAAATTTATTATTGAAGCATATATTTTAGGTCCTTATAGTTCAAATTCTATTTCCTTTTATTCTATCTTTTCCTTTATGAATTCTTCACATCTTTGGTTTCATATATACTAATCAATATGTACTTTGCCTTCTAGTTATGAGCGAGACATTCCAAGTGTACTCAAAGTTCAAGATCTACGCCCAACTTTACATCACTATCATTTCTTAGGATGTGCTTTGGAGTTTGATATCATTTTTGGAGGTGTGGCTGGTCTTGAGTGTTCATGACATTGACGGACTGATTGAGATGTGTTTATTATTTCAATAAATGCCGCATGAGAGAAATTATCACAATATTTAAAAAATTTCATCCGACCTGTATAGAAATGCTGATGTAATGCAAAAAAAACCACAAAAAAATAACCTAGAACACAGATAAAGTACAGACGTTAATAATTCAATTTTCCTATATTGAATTAAATTGATTTTGACGTAGTTTTACATGAATCATACAAGAAAAATTAGAAATAAATTATAGAGGTGTCATGGTATTGTGGATTCGTCACCAGACTGTGGAGCACATGGTGCACTGTTAGATTCCCGTCTCTGCACTAATGTCTGTTGGCAAGATATTTACCACACTCCACCCAGGTGAGGTAAATGGGTACCTGCAGGTACAAAGATATTCCTTGAATACTTGAGTGCCTTTTCATGGTAGCTCACCTAAAGCCAGGGTAACAATATGATTGCAGGGCCCTTAGGGAGAACAGTAATAATATTGATGAAACTACCCTGGGTGACAAATTATTATTATTATCAATATTATTAATATTATATTACTTTTGCACTTTGTAAAATATTTATTGTTTCATTGTGAATACTGTATATAATGTTTAACATGTACCATGTGTATGTTTGTTTTCCTGGACAGAGCTTTATTGTAAAAAAGAGTCATTTTAACACTGAATAGGGCTAGCATGTATATGAACAGAATGCAGATTAAATAAAATGATTAGACAAAGTCCAACTTTAGACAATCTTTATCTCAAACCAAACATCATGTCTACCTATACTTAATTTTTAATGGAACTTTTGTGTCTGTATGAAGTTCAATAAAAAGAACAATAATAAATGTTATTACTAGCCAATATTTCTGTGTCATGCATTTGCATATATTCACATTGTTACATCAAAATGTCTTTTAGTTGTTCATGACAAGAACTCTAGGTTACCTTGAATTCGGTATCTGATTGCAAAGTAAATGTCTATACCTAAACTATGTTAGACATCTACTAGCAGTCATTTATACATTCTGTTTGTTAATCAAGGGTAATTAAATTGCATTTATCAACAGATAATGTCAATAAGTAAATAGTCCCACCTTAGATTGAAAAACATACTTTGACCTGGTCATTGATCTCCCCATATTAACAATTGATCTCATTCATTATCTTACAACAGATGTAGCTAATTGATCTACCAATAGTCTTTTTAGCTTCTTGGAAACTACTACATTTAGTGTTGAATCTGAATAGGCCACATAAGTATCATTCTTGCCGCTGTTGTTAAAACCTCACTAAGGATTTGAACGTATACAATAAAGTGACATTCTTAGGTTATGAAAGGGAAATCCAACCGTGACAGCAAACTACTCTGGAGGGAAAGCATAACAATTATAGATATAAGTAGATGGGTGAAAATTTGCATGAAATCAGACTAAAAAATGAAAAAGTTGTAATCACTACAAGGATGGGCTCTTCAAATTGGCTGAATCTGTGATGTCTGTGTGATGTAGTGGCAGACAACTTTCTTGTTTGTTTCAACACACAAAATGACTTAATTTTCAATTTTTCAAAAATGTATGACTCGGGAGGGGTCTATTCTCTTTCGAAGACCTATAATAAGATGATATCCAAAATATATTTTGAGTAGTGCCCCAAGAGCGAAGGCAGTGCACTTAGGATAAAAATGGAAATTAATTATGTTTTTGTACACTACAAACGTGAGAGTTATCAACAATTACGAAATATACCACCGACCAAACTACCGATTTGAGATTCGCATAGACTGAGTGATCTCATATTTCAAACATTCAATACTTTCTTATTATTGGTGCCCCAAGAGCGAAGGCAGTGCACTTAGGATAAATAATGGAAATTAATTATGCTTTTGTACACTACAAACGTGAGAGTTATCAACAATTACGAAATATACCACCGACCAAACTACCGATTTGAGATTCGCATAGACTGAGTGATCTCATATTTCAAACATTCAATACTTTCTTATTATTGGTGCCCCAAGAGCGAAGGCAGTGCACTTAGGATAAATAATGGAAATTAATTATGCTTTTGTACACTACAAACGTGAGAGTTATCAACAATTACGAAATATACCACCGACCAAACTGCCGATTTGAGATTCGCATAGACTGAGTGATCTCATATTTCAAACATTCAATACTTTCTTATTGTTGGTGCCCCAAGAGCGAAGGCAGTGCACTTAGGATAAAAATGGAAATTAATTATGTTTTTGTACACTACAAACGTGAGAGTTATCAACAATTACGAAATATACCACCGACCAAACTGCCGATTTGAGATTCGCATAGACTGAGTGATCTCATATTTCAAACATTCAATACTTTCTTATTATTGGTCCAATTTATTTCAAACTTTAGCTATTCCGTTTATTTTATTGTTTCTGCTTTCATACACATGAACTTATTACAATGACCTACAATGATAACTATACAATGATAAGACTCATCGCACTATACCAAATTAATATACATGTATTTCAAAAAACATGTCCAATATTGTTAATGTTTTGTAAACACTTTGAGCTATGAAGTGTTTGATATATTACGTTTACAATAGAAAAGATTCAGATTGCTATACAAGTGCATATGTGATAAATTTGTAGCCGATTATATTGATTGTAAATCTCTTAAGTGTGAAATCACAGAAACAGACTATTTACAAGCATATTTTCCCATGATTTGTCTTCTGCACTAACCCTAATCCTCTCTATTTTCATAATTCTCTCTTTTTCTCTTTATCTTTGAGCTCTTTCTTTCTCTCTCTCTCTCTTTCCCTCTCCCCTCCCCCTTTTACTTGATCTCTTTGGTATTCACTATATCTCTTATTCCTCTTTCAATCTATCATCAGCACATTGTCATTATATACACATAGTTGTATTTTTGTTCAGAAAATCACTAAAAGGCTATATTGATATACAAATATAACTAATTTGATGCTATGAAATAGAAAGATGCCCGTATGAAGTTCCCACTCACAAACTTTCACTATTTTGATTTTCTCGAACTCCTTGCATCACTCATCAGCATTCATATTTTTGATTCACTTAAACTTACCAACATTGACCATTTTGATTCCAGCCCTTTCCATCATCTGTAGGGCATGTGAAACATTTTCCATCTTCTGTACTCGAAGTTTGGGATTCTTGCAGTAACTGCTTCTCTTCTTGTACATGGGTAAGCCTCTGGATGCGACCAATCCATCCAACAAAGTGATGAGCATCAATCCATCTTCGAAATCGGTGACGAGATCGTCGACCTGTTTGCCGGCTGGTCGCAGTTGTTCATTCACCCAATTTGTGAATGTTTTCTGTTGGATTTGAACCCAAGGGGCACTGATACTACTCGAATTGTTTCTCTCCATGGCTGCCGTGAAGAAACCTAGCTCGTAAGCGTCCTTCCTTCGTAAGCCCAAACCAACCAAAAGATACCAAGACACACTTGGTTGGCCAAGCTCGTTCACGATGATTGGACAGAAGTTTTCACAAGAATGGGCGCGACGGATCGCTTGTCAGTCTGTTGATCAACGCTGAGATGAAAGAAACCGCGCATCAAAACCACGGATGTTTTAGTTTTAATGAGACGAAAAAAGGGTCCAATTACGAAGCTCTATTTAAGAAGAACACTCGTATTCTGTGATAGTATCTAATGAAGAATGTTCAGATAGATTCTGATGAGCGTATATAAGACCCTTCGACTTGCTTCGGTCTTTGAGCGCCCTGTAACTTGTGTGCTGCCAGTCCGCCTCATATCACGTCTACCGATGGATGTGATATCGATATACATGCAGTGCACATTGACCTCAAAGCGACTAGAACACGTGGGTCGTTTTATACAAATAATTATAGTGCCGCGTGTATGATGTTTGGTATCCCATTAATCTCTTACTTCTTTTGTAAACAGCATCAAATAATCGAATTATCATCAGTCCTTAAATTGTCGCACTGCTGCACCGAAATATGCGATTACCAACGATATATGAATGGCAATAAGAGGACGTGTACTAATAGGCTTAACAACAAAAATATACATGTAGAAAAAATAATCAATATTGCTCAAATCTATTTTTTGCCAGACCAACCAGATGTTACTCCTACACACCCTGGTTTTATTTTGTAAACGCCTATAAAAGAAAAATCTGGAAAGGATAAGAGAAGATTCGAATCACACAGTGGTTTAAATATGTACATGTACATGTCTCCGCTACTGGATTACGGGACAGGGCGATCCTCTTCACTATGCGAGAACAATACATACAAGGTATATAATGTCTCATTACAAACGGTGACCACTCGATCCTACAAATACCTTCGAAAGCGATGATAAGAATAATAATTATAATCATATTTATACAACTATAGTACAAGAAGTAGAAAAGTATAGGAGGAATATGAGTATACAGAAGTAGAAGTATAGTAGTAGTGGTAGTAGTGGTAATAGTAGAGTAGTAATAGTATATAGTAGCAGCAGAATAGTAGTAGAAGTAGTAGCAGCAGCAGCAGTAGAAGTAGTAGTATTAGTAGTAGTGGTAGTAGTAGTACTCTCTTAATTTCTAGGACTTAAATTTTAAATCCATTTTGAGACTTAAAATATTTCAAGTCTTTAAGACTTAATAAATTGGGAATTCGACTAAAAGTTTGATCGAAACCAGCTTCTAGATATAAATCTTGGAAAGACTTAAACTTCTCGCCAATAAGATGTGCATATTTCCAGTTGCACCTGTTGATGACTGACTGTTGGCATATTTCCAGTTGAACCAGCTGACACCAATTAATTTGCATATTGAATATGGGGTGCGTGCAGATCTATGTTTTTTTAACAATTTTTCTGAATTTACAGCATATTTCTTAATTACTGATGATTTAGGTATATGCAATTCATTTCGAAAATACTACAAATATAAATTACAAGTTATTAGGACATTTCGCTACTTCATATGAATTCCATTTAATTAAACATGAATAAGGGAAACATTAACTATGAACTAAAATAATTTCAATAAAATACAAGTATATGAAAAAAAATTCGATTAATTAAATTATGTATAAGTCTACTTATTACCGATGCCTTTACATTGATAATACAGACGTACCAGTATTGAAGTGTTGTTGCCGTTCAATTGGTTGGAAGTTTTACCAAATGGTTCTAATGGCTTAGCTAGACCAGTAAATCTAAAAGACTTGAAATATAAATACAATTGACTTAAACTTTAAATCTTTCAGGGACTTAAAATTTTAAGTCTTAGCTTAGATTTATTTTTGAAATGAATCTAAGAAAGGTTTAAAATAAATATTAAAAGACTTGAAATATAAATCCAATTGACTTAAATTTTAAACCTTTTCAGGGACTTAAAATTTCAAGTCTTAGCTTAGACTTATTTTAAATCCCAAAGGGTTCGTCACTAATATCAGTCTCTGTTAGATTTAAAAGTAAGACTTTAAGATTTAAAAATAAGACTTTCAAATTTAGAGAGTAGTAGTAGTAGTAGTAGTAGTAGTAGTAGTAGAAGTAGTAGTCAGTGGCGGATCCAGGGGGGCCTAGGGCCCGAGCCCCCACCCCTAGGGAAAAAACGTGTTAAAAAACGTGAATTTTACTTTTTTTTTTAATGCACCCCCCCCCCCCCCTGGCGCTCAAGGGGGTTGGGGTGTGCGCGATTTTTCAAAAATTGAGGGCAAAACAAAATTATTGCTCACTACTTGATCGTTTTGGGGGACATTAGGCGAGGGAGCGATATTTGGGGGGGGGGGGGGGTTATTGGTCTAAACGCTGCACTAAAGAGCCTAAAAGTGTGTTGCAGTCTTTAGTTAGTATTTGCTATACATTTTTTGGCACTTTTTGAAATTTTACGTGTCCCCCGCCCCCCCCCCCGATCGTCGCCCCACTAGTAGTGGTAGGGGCAGAAGTAGTAGTAGCAGCAGGAGGAGGCACGTAGCCATGGGGGGGGGGGGGGCACAATTCTTTTACAGGATCGGTTGAACTTTTTTTAGACCCCCCCTTTTTTTTTACCTCAATCGATTGCATGTATGTGCCCCCCCCCCCCCCAACATCAAACTCTGGCTACGTGCCTGAGCAGCAGTAGTAGTATAGTAGTTGTACTCCCTGGTTAAGAGTTGCTAAAGTTGCTGACTTGCCAAAGCCTTAATGAGACTATAGGTGCCGCGACCGGGATTTGCTCCAAATTCGTTAACTATTAAATTATCCACTATAGTCCACGACATGACCACGATAACAATGATAGCAATGACGATAATACATTATTGTTCAGCTACTTTATCAAATCAATATTAGTCTTACGATCAATCACTGCGGGCAGGCAGGGCCCTGGATATTGAGAGTCATGGTACACAATAAGTATGTGGGTGATGGACACACGTGGTGACACGACATTTGCTCCTGCGACAATTGCTCCGGGCTTTATTTCGTCTAAGATGTAGGGTTAGGATTAGGGTTTCAATAGGGTTTTATGTTAGGTTTAGGGTTAGGTTTTTTTTCTGCTTCCATTAATTAAACCAACTCATTATCAGGATGGACCCCCATTTTGATATATTCAATACTCGCTACGCCGTGCCCCCAGGTTTTAATTGGGTACCCGGGAGGATTCGAACGTCTTTGTAGTTGGATTCAGTGGCGGATCCAGGGGGGGGGGGGCCGGGGGCCCGGCCCCCCACCCCTGGCAAAAAAGGGGAAAAAAGAAGGGGAAAAGAAAAAAAAGAAGGAAAAAAAAGAAGGAACAAGAAGTAGGAAAAAATATTTTTTTAAAATATAAGAAGGAAATAAAAGGGGAAAGATATCAAAGGTATCAAAATATACTCATCTGACCGTAATTAAATGCCTAAAACCCCTAAGTTTTCGGGGCTCCACCCCCTCGACCCCACCAGGGGCCCTAAGTCGGGCCCCTGCATGCTTGTCTGACCGTTTTAAAATTCCTAAAACCCCTTAGCTTCTGGGTGCTCCGCCCCCTGGACCCCACGCCAATTAGTGACCTGCCAGTGTCACAAATAAGGTATGAAAATATGCTTATCTGACGATAATTTAATGTATAAAACCCCTGAGCTTCCGGGGGCCCCGCCCCCTGGACCCAACACCGATTTTTGTCCTGCCAGTGTAACAAATAAGGTATCAAAATTTGGTCATCTTACCGTAATTTATTGCCCAAAACTACTGAGCTTTCGGGGGCTCCTCCCCCTGGACCCCACGCTAATTCGTGACTTGCCAGTGTAAAAAATAAGGTATAAAAGTATGCTCATCTGACCATAAGTTATTGCCAAAAAACCCTGAGCTTCCGGGGGCTCCGCCCCTGGACCCAACACCAATTTGTGACCTGTCAGTGTCACAAATAAAGTATAAAATTATGCTCATCTGACCGTTATTTATTGCCAAAATACCCCTGAGTTTCCGGGGGCTCTGCCCCTGGACCCAACACCAATTTGTGTCCTGCCAGTGTCACAAATAAGGTATAAAAATATGCTCATCTGACCGTTATAATATATTGCCTTAAACCCCTGAGCTTCCGGGGGCTCCGTCCCCTGGACCCCACGCCATTTCGTGACCTGCCAGTGTCACAAATAAGGTATAAAATTATGCTCATCCGACGATAATTTGATGTATAAAACCCCTGAGCTTCTGAGGGCTCCGCCCCCTGGGAAAAAAAAACGTGTAGATGCCCCCCCCCCCTGGCGCTCAAGAGAGGGGGGGGGGGGGGTGCGATTTGCACATTTTCGAGGGCCAAGAAAAAAAGGTGCTCACTAGCCCCTCCCCTCCCCCTTCTGAGCGAAACATTGGCCGGCACGATTTTCAATTTTAGCACACTAAATTTCAAATTGATTTCAAATTTGGGCCCCCACCCCTAAGAAATCCTGGATCCGCGCCTGGTTGGATTAACATGTGCGCGTCCGTTAAAAAGGCACTAGCTGGAACGCTCTCCAAGGAGTGGAGAATGTGCACTATGATGCGCAAAAGAATAATTAAATACATAATATACTGTTAGCGCTTTTGTTGGTTGAAACTTGAAAAGTGCATTACAAGAAACAGTTGTTGTTATAGTGATCGTTATGAGATAACCATCACTAGTGTTGTTATCATCATCACTATTATTATAATCATTATTATTATTATTACATTAAAACAAATCTTAGTTTTCGGTTGCCTTGCTAAATTCCCCAAAAGGGTCAACGTACCTATATTCTTCGGCAGAGGCAGCCTTACCGGGGTGGGGAAACAGGGGGCACAGTGCCCCCACTTTTTCAAGTATCCCAAAAGTACCCCTTTTCCTTCGACAGGTTCCCATTTCCTTTGCAATAAGTATCCACTTTCTATTCTCATAAATGCTCTTTTTAATCTCTAGTAAGTGCCCCTTTACAGGTACGAGAAGTGCCCCTTTTCACTTTTGATAAGTGCCCCTTCCCCTCCTAATAAGGGCTCTTTTCACCTTAGATAACTGCCTCTTTTATTTTGACACGTGCCCCTTTTCCTTTCTAATATATGCTCCTTCCCCTTTTTAAAACTACCCCCCTTTCATCTCTGATGAGTGCCCCGTTTATTTTAACATGTACGTTTTTTCTTTTTAATCAGAGCCACTTTCCCCCTTCTCATAAAAGCCCCCTTTCAACTCCGATAAATGCCCCATTAAAATATGATCGATGCCCCTTTTCTTTCAACTAATGCACATTTTCCTTTATTTTAAGTGCCCCGTTTTTATTCACATAATTTCCCCTTTCATATCTGGTCAGTGCCCCTTTTCAGGTGCGGTAATTGCTCCTTTTCACCTCTGATAATTCTCTTTGAACAGTGATACGTGCCCCTTTTCCTTTCTAATGAGGGACCTATCCCCTTTTCACCTCTTACAAATGCCCCTATCAAAACTTGATGGGTTCCCCTTTTCCGTCGGCAAATGCCCATTTCCCATTCTCATAAATGTCATTTTTTCATCCCTGGTGGGTGCCTCTTTTTGTAGGTGTAAGAAGTTCCCATTTTTACCTTTGATAATTACCTTTTGTATTTTGACACATTAATTAGTGTCTTATCACTTTCGATAATTGTTACTTATCAAAGGTCTTTTCAGTCTTCGTTATGACAATGTGCTTATAACCCCATTAGGATCATGGGTTTTTTCCTCTCTAAAAGATGTAGTTTTTCGCACTGCGACCTCACAAATCTTTAAAAATGTCCTCGCTCGCTTCGCTTGCTCACAAATATTTACAGACCATCACACCCAACTGCAAAGTATGATGCTTAAGCAATATCTTGTATGGCGTATAAAGAGAAACAAATATTGAAATCATCCCTGATAATGTATATCACAATGTAGGGGGATATACCAATGTATATTTTCGCTTAGAGATTTCCCTTTGTAGGTGCCCCCTTTTTTCTCCAGAAAATGCCCTTTTTGTCGGTGCACCCCCCCCCCACTAAAACTAAAAATGCGTCATCAAGATATGATCTGAAAACCCCGAATGTTAGGGCGCTTTTGATAATAATAGGCTAATATTAATAATAATGATAACAATAATAGTTATAATAAACAACACCAACAAATCAAAATTAATTTCAAAAAATCTCCTTCGCTCTGCATCCTTTCTTGCAATGTGTAAAGAATGATTTTATTTTGCCTGGCATTCCTAGGTTTTGAATTCAACCAAAACACGATCGCAACTATTTTTCAAAAAAATCAACTCAATGGCAATTTTTAATCCCCTATTATTAAGATTAGGTAATGCCTCATGTCATAATTATAAGATTATTTCAAGAGGTGACAATGAAGCCTAATGACAGTTTATTAGCTTTAATTTTCGCAAAAAGGTGCGATTATGTTCCAAATTCATTCTCAGGTAAATGCCATAATTTCCGAATTCTGGTTGTAATTTTGAGCTTGAACGTTAGAGCACTAGGGGTGCAATTTTATTGTTTGTCCCGGGCGCCATAATTTATTCCTAGATACGCCACTAGGCTGAGGGGAGGGGAATAACCCCCCCCCCCCCCGAAAGTGTTGGAAGGGCCAATGTTCAAGCAACTGTCACTATATATTCGGGAAGCGAGGAGCCAGAATATCATTGTTATGATAATGTTGATCATTATCTGTTGTATCCTATCTGGTGTATTTTTTTATGACGGAATAACTTTACCATAATAACGTGCCATCTATGCTCGCTTTTCTTGCTCTCTCCTAAAATGAAGAATTCAAATATTGTATTCTGACAAGAGGCATCTGCCCCGGGCCAATATTTGCCCAAACGCTAATTAGGATGACAAACCATTTTTTTCCTTCCACTTATAACATGCTTTCCAACAACTTGTGCGACCATTTGTGCATATACAATGTCAGAGATTAGCTTAGAGGACAAGGTAGACCCATCTTCCGCGCCGTCAATCATTAAAGTATTATGTGAGTGTGAAAAAATGGATGAATGAAATTAATTTCATTACAAGCCCATCTCAGATTAATATTGCATGGCAAAAAACCCTGAAGGATTGGAAGAAAGGGAACATGTCAGGAAATAATTTTCTGCGGTGATATCGACTACCCATTGCTAGAAGTGTAATAGCGCCATCTATTGCTTAGAATTTGTTATTACCTGTTTTTTTCACACATGTATTTTGTTTTGCTATCATTATTGGTAGTTGTTTCTGTCAGTTTTCTATCTTCTTAAAATGCTACTTTGAAAACTTTGAGTGTAAATATCACCTGCAAATACTATTACTCTTGTAACATATGTGTCATAAATTCTGCTATCATTCAGTTCTGAATGTACGTTAGAAAGTCAATTGCTTAAACTATATGGGAAGATGAAAATGATTTCAAACAGAGCTGGAGTAGCAATGTAATATATCTCATCGTTCATTGCAAAGAGGAAAACCAAATCAAGAAGCATATGACAAAGTGGCAAAATGATATTAATAGGTTACCTGCTGTTCTTTCACCCCCCCCCCCCCCCCCCATCGAAACCTGTGCTCTCATTATCTGTTTCTGAATGCGTCTTGAATCAAACAAAGAAAGCTAGTACTTGTTACACACCAAAATACATTATATGCACTTTAATTTTTATTTACATATACACAGTACAACTTCAGTAAATTGTAAGTATTGAGCTGTCATATACATGTGATATGATATTTTTACAATTTTGAAAATCTTACCACATGTAAATCCTACAGTATAATTATGCAATTGTAGACATGCGATCTAGTGAGCTCTAATGTACATGTCGCAGCTGATGAAGTCCAATTATTCTTACAAAGCTACAATTCTGGTGCAAGAAATTCCTTGCGATATTATAATATCAATGAAAATACTGTTTCCTAAAAATGACATTTCTATCACTTTGGAATGACTTTGGAATCAAGACAGAAACAAGAAGGCCAGCGTAGTCCGAAATGCTCGTTTTCTTGACGTGTGAATAGAATTCTCTTTACCTTTAATCCAACATTCTATCGATAACACTTCAAATTAAAAATCGAAGCTACATTTAATACAGACTTGACTCTATGTAGATCCCATTATTTCATAACTGTAACATAATAATGCATCCTCTATCATTTCTATTCATTTATTTTGGGGATTAAATAGTTTTTTAGTATGTGTTTTGAATATATTATTGACTTATACAGCACTCCAAAATCTAATATTCCCTTTGTCTTTAGAAACCAGCGAAAATATAAACATGACTTCTTATGGTGTTCTGAACGGGCTCAATTTGGTGCAATGCAAATTTAATAACCAGCGAATATGTTTTGGGGTCGCTCAGCGCGAAAAATTAATCGCGCGAAAATAACAGCGTTTACAGTACTTTGTTTTCCTTAATAGTGAGATATGAAATAAAATAGGCAGGAAGCATCAAGTAATTAATATTATCTAGGAATATGTGTACAATACAATCAAAATCTCTGCAATGTATAGAAACACTTTTTTTCTGAATTTGTTGGAACTAGGTAAAAAAAAAGGCAACCAAACAAATTTCAGACTGCCTTCTACTGAGGTTTTATATCATATAATAACCAATATAAACTTTGTTCCAAAAAGAGAGTTCTTCTATTTTCTACATTCATATCTATTTTACCTATATCTAACTAATAAATAAGCTTTTGTTTTGGCATTAAAAAAACTTTTTAAAAAAAATAACGCCACCAATGACAAAATACATCTATGTTCCACTTCAACCTTCATTATACAATGAACACAATGCTTCCACTATTTTTATGCTGCATATTAAGATTTTAATCCCCTAATTTGTCAAAACTTTGGGCATAAACTTGGCTCCCTTTTACTGATTCACAGGCAACTTAAAGAACGTACAAGTTCTATTAACTGTATGACAGGGTCCCTAAGTCTGCGCACCTACTTAAAATTGACAAGAATTTGTTAACATATCCCCCTAATGCTTGATCACATCTTGATCCTTATATTCTAGAGAGTAAGTGTGAGCTTTTTGGATTCACATGCATAAAAAGTGAAATGTTTTAATCTCAATTAAAAGGACACTTCAATTTCATGTATTGCTCTGCGTTTGAATGCCCCTTATAATACATGATACAAAGTTTCTGGAAAACATGCAACAAGTTAGGTAGCAAACCGAAATGTAATGGTACGAAAAGATGCATTCGGAACACAAAATACGTAACAGATAGTGATGTTTGTTAATCAAAAGTTCCTCTTTGACATATCTGAATGAATATTTAGGTAATGCAAAGCCTCATTGAGATGGTACAATGCATTTACCAGCTCCATATCTTAACCATGTGCTTCTACCTCTGTGTGATAAGATTACGATTTTCAAAAATGGGATGCATCTTTTTGTAGCAGTAAATTACGCTAAGCTATACCTTGCATGACAAACATCCCCTTCCCCTGTGTAGGGTTGCAGCCCTGTTTTATAATGTTATCACACTAATAACTAGAAGTGGTATAATTTCTTACTCTCATAACTCTCTGAAAATATTGCACATTTATGAACATCAATTTGAGCTTCCATCGCTGTATAAATTCTGTAGCTAAATATGAATTTGAACATCATTTTGCCACCCTTCTGTTTCTCAGTTCTATTTCATATCTATTTTGTTACAAAGATACTTTGTTTGGTATGGAGTGGTTGACACTAGGCCTTTCATAAATCAGCGGTATATAGTCACATCAATTTTACCTTGATCTACATTTAAGGTGCAGCCTTTGTGTTTTATTCATTCTTCTGGTGAATATGAGGTCTAATAATCATTGGATGATTATCATTATTTATGATTAAATGATTATTAGAACATATGAATAGTAGACAAAATGGGCAATTAGACAAACTGGGAATTAGACAAACTGGGAATAAGACCGACTGGCAATCAGACCAAATGGGTAGTAGACTTATTGGAGATTAGACCAAATGGAAATTAGACCAAATGAGTAATAGCCTGAATGGTCATTAGACAAAAGCAGACACGATGATTATTAGACCATGTGGATACTAGACAGGCTGGGTGTAGACCATTTGGATAGTAGATGAACTGGCTGTAGACCAAATGGCAATAAACCGGAAAAGCAGCGAAACCATGTATTGTGGCTTCTAACTTGGTCGATTGGTTCACTTACATGTACAAGCTTTAAAAAAATATACTTGATGTCCAAACGCCACAGCTGTAATTGAGGTCTCTTCGCCAACCCTCGTAGAGTCAATCAAGTATAACCCGTTGACAACTGGATTCACATAGGCTTAATACAGGAGCCGCCCGGTTCCAGTAGGCAATGGGTTATGCAAGGATGCCTCCACAAGGACACTTTGCTGACTTGATCATCCAGATCCAGATACAGATCCAGAACCTCAGAAGTACTGAACTATTCTGGAGTGAATGTACGTTGTTGGTTATCAATGTCTGTTGGCATCTAACATGGTTCTGGCTAGTTCGCACACAAGACACAATGCAAAGTTTGAACTTGATCCAGCTTAAAGAATGCAGCCTTAGTGTTGGGTTCCTTCGTCCGCTGTGAATGCAGGTAAACCCCGTATATAGGCATCTAGCTTGGTCTTGAACAGCAAACTCTCGATAGGTTTGTTGAGTGAACATAGAGGATTCCTCACAATCAGATCTACATAGATCTAGAGAATAGCAGAATAAAAAAAGAAAAAATTGAGAAATTGGTTATTGAATACGGTAATCAATAAATAGAATGTCAATTAGGAAATAAGCAGAGAAAGCTTCTATCAACAAAGGATAATTGAACAAATGTACTATAAAGCATCTAATCTTAACAATGTGCAAGTGAAGGAAAGATGAGGATTTTTTTACCAATCATTTTAAAAACTTTTGTTATCTATTAAAGTTTGTCTTTGTCTAAAAACTAAAGTCTTGCTGAGAATCACATTCATTAATTTTCTAAGCTAAGCTGCTTAGTAATTATTTCTTACCTATTATCCAATTTATACCAAATTGTGTGGCAGACATCATTCATCTTAAACATTCATTAAAAGGTACTGTTGATTCTTCAAAAATACATTTTCCATCAATACCACAATTTTAAAAGATTACCTGTAGTCAAATTTCTCCTTTTTTCATGTTGATTAAACAAAAAAATGCTTCATGAAATCTGACAAGACAATACATTAACCTGCATCAAGAGACTAAAGAAGCTGCTCATTGCCTGAAAATTTGGGACAAAATTAGAATCTGGATGAACTTAACTTTTTACAGATACGAGGATGAAGGAAGTTAAATAAATTAATTACCCCACTGTATAAATGTTGAAGAACTTCTCTCATCGGTCCTACATTGAGGCCTGTATTGAGGATGAACTTGAGACCACTCGGAGTCTCAAAGAAGTGAAGTCTGTAGCAGTTAGTAGAGTAGTTGAGAAAGCCATCTTTGCTGAATACTCAGGGTCAAGGACTGATAGAAGATCAAAGTGTTTTTACATTATTTAAAGCCCCACTGCACTACTTATAGCTACTTGCGCCCTCTATATAGCAAACAATGCCTAATCGGTGCCTATTGGTCCCCCATGATCCCCTTTTTCTTATGTTAATTGAGAGCTGATTTGATGAGATAACTACCTGTCAGTGACCTTGCAGGGAGGTCTAATCCCCCTGGCCAAACAAGTGCAGAAGGGCTTTAAAAGAAAGAATCATTCATGGTATAAATTAAATGTGATTAGCAGCCAATGGCTGGATTGGTCACATTTTACAAGCAAATTCTAAAAATAGATATATAGAATGGTAAAAATATACAACCACCTGATAATAATTAGGGCAATTGTGAACGATATATTTCCATCATTCCCACTATTCCATTATCACCCACAATGATATGTGGTATTTAGCTCTTACAATCATGCAATCCTTCTACCATGCAAACAAACAATGAAAAAAGCCTTTTTAATATGATATATTTTAATAGGGAGATTGATTTCAAATTCAAATAAATCTCATTTATGGATTGACTGATTTCAAATAAGAATAAATAGCAATAAAATTATCTTTTCATTCAAGATTACTTATTATTCAATTTGAATTGGATTGAATTTCCAGAATTGCATTTGGTTTCACATCATCATCACAGCCACATGCACATGTACATCATTTAAATACAAATAATGAAATCAATCAATGTAATTATATGAAGATATTTCAAAGAAAATTTAGTGCAAAGATATTCAACTGGTTTGTAGTACTACTCATCTGATCATTCAAACTTGTAAACAAAGGCGGATAATTACACCATAGATGTAGTTAATCATATCACAATATTAATGTAATTCAGGAAGGACACATTAGGATATAATAGGAATAAAAAGGAGAACAAGAATTAATCAAATATCTGAAATAACAAATGAGATACGGTAGACCTTGTACGCAGTAGTATTATAAAAACTCAATGATTCTCCACTGTAATAAAGGATACAAGTCCATTGGCGATATCCTACTGATGAAGGATTTAATAGAAAATATCAGGCCATACATCAACTTATACTCCTGCAAGAGAGAGAGAGAGAGAGATGTCAGTTTCTTATAACAAAAACAAATGATGAAGATGATTCACAGCATTTACATAGTGCCATATTTTTGTTTAAAACACACACAAATAAACCTGCTTCATATATATATATATATATATATATATACTATTCATGCCATGATCTTTTCAATTATCATGAATTAGTGGATGCTTTGACAATTAACAATTCTATAGAGTAAGTTTCATGACATTTGTACCATGCAGGGGGGGGGGGGATGAAAAAATTCACATTGATTCATCTGTACATGGCAAGATATCCAAGAAAATAAAAACACTGACAAAATTTCTCATTTTGTAATCTTTTTGTGGTCTCTACTTTTTTGACTGAACAAGATTTCAGTGCTATTAGGCTAACCTTTTGTTTTGGGCAACATGTTGAGAGAATGGTTTGGGCTTACTTCGAAGCATTGGGTCATCGCGATGGGTCGAGTGGCCACGTTACCCAACCTTTTGGGAAAACATACCTTTTTATATACGAAATGTTGGGGGCACAGTTTGTGAAATAAACCCCTCTCATCTACAAATACCCTGGTCCAAATTACCCAACACATAATGAAAACCCTACGGCAAACGTACGAAAGCTAGCATGAGCTTTCGTTTTTGTCTCACGAAAGGTCGTGTACACGACTACCTGACCTTACAGGATGACCCAATGATTTGAAGCAAGCCAAAGGCTTGACTTTAGCTTGTCCCTGACGAACCTTACCTCATCTTTAGACATGCCTGACTGCTTATATCGATTCCATTCTTGATAGAACAAACAGGTTCCAAACCGATCAAATACGTACAGGTTATAGATCGTCATCTGTATTGGAGTAAAGGAAAACAAAATTGAAATGCCATCGTTAAAGTGCATTGGAATTTTCATTTACCTATTTATATATTTGATAGACCTACGGTACATATAAAAACTAAACTTTACTTTACTTTAATCCAAGGATGTCGTAGGTCTAAGGGTATGCTTATGCTCACCCTTTTCAGGCCAGAATGAGGCTTTTGTTACACTTTTAGTTCATAACAAGGTTGCATCCTTTTTCGTATAATTTTCGTATAAACGCTGATAACGCTGATCGTAAACTCACAAATAGGTGCGTTTTGGATCAGCGTTTCTCCAAAAAGATGGTTTCTGGGGGAAGCATAAACGCACGATCATTTGTAAATGCTTTTAAATAAAGTCATAATAAACGTGTTTCCGGTTCACTTGAAAATCCACTCGCCGCCAGTATGGTGTACAATATTTATACTAGAGGGTCTATGCTTGGTTTTTCTCAAGGCATGCACAAGCAGACAGGCACAAGTAGAGTCATCCGAGCAATATCATTTGTAACCTGTAAACTTAATACTACACTGTAAGTACTTATTCCATATTTATATCATTGTATTGAAATGAGTGCTCAAACTACAGCGACGAGGAACTGAGGGCCCTTCTCCTCGCTTGGTCCGAACCCTACAGTGTAAATACAAGATGAATTAAATGAGTTTTGAAAAAAGGCGTGCCCCAACTTGACCTGCTTTCCCGGGTAAACGTAGCATGCGCAGTGCAGGTTTGTGAATCCAATCCATAAGCTGAACCTTGGAACTGCGTTTATGATGAGCGTTTCAAAATGCTCGTTCTGTTGACTGACTTAGCTGACATTGACAACATGTTTTCTGGGAGACGGGGGACCGTTTCTCGAAACTGTCATAACTACAAGATCAACGACATCTCGCCACTGTCGCGCAACTTGTCAGCTAAGTGTTTCACGAAGCCGTCTTTGTCAAGATGAGCGACAACTTCCGCGACAAGCGAGTTGTCACTGCTCCGAACCTGTCATATCTTTTTAATTGCTGTAAAGCGCCATCACAAGTCAGTTTGTTGCTGTTCCATGGGCCGCGAAATGTACGATTAGTTTCACTATCATTTTGAGAAAAATATAGACGAGTTCGGTACGTAATTCTCTGGGATGCGAAATGCAAATGTACAGAAGTGATAATAAAAATTATACAGAAATTTGTAAAAGCTGAATATAAACATTAAATCACAAATCATTAAACTATCACATATAAATAAAAGAGATAAGAATGTTAAACACCGTTGTCCATAGTCAATCCATAGTCTTTCTTAGGATACCATTGTACCTTTGGGGCCTATGTGCATTATTATTCCCTCTCTAATTACTTCTTTCAAATTAAAAACTGGCTGAGAAAAGGTATTTTGCCTAAAATTCCTCGTCACAATAAACAAAAAAATTATGTATTGATAAACTATCACATTACGGTATCCTTCAACTACCTTTTGAGTGAATTGTCGAGAAAAAAAAACTCACTGGTTTTTCTTCAATTTAACTTTAAGAATCTTTACAGAAATATGCAAATCGTTTGATGATCTACATTTGATAATGACACTATTTTTTATTTATTTTAGGAGAATTAATATGTATATGTTTCTTTTTGAACAATTTTAGCCCCAAAACTTGTTTTGGGTTATTCGTGATAAATCAAATGGATCGTGACAAAGACTATGTTCTTGAGCTGCTAGTATCGCGATATATCGATATCATGTCTGTCATGGCTTTGTGAAACGGTTTATCCACTTCATGACATCTCCATAGGTCGCCGACAAAGATATGACTGTCATGGAGTTGGTTTCGAGAAACGGCCCCCTGATCCACAGCTCCACAACTGTCTCTAGTAATATTAATATTGCTAAAATTGTAAAAAAGTATGATCCCAATTCATTTTGCCCATTATTTTGTAGTTGTTCATACATAGACCTAGGTACCGATACACAATTAATAATATTAATACTGTGTAAAAGGAGATCGATCCAATAATAATATGCAATGCGTGTGATGCATGGTTTCCTATTTTGTGGTTACGCCATACGCCCTTCCAAACAGACATATTTTTCTATCTAACAAAGTTAATGTGGCATAGATTTTAAACTACATGCAGTGCAGTCTCTGCCTGCGGAGCTCGACCAATCCGGCCCGGCCACCCGAGGCCCAGCCGGCAGCCTCAGCCGGGAGGAGCCAGCCTGGCCAATCCGCCCACCCGAGCCCAAGCAGCCAGGTGAACGTGAGACAAGACGCACAAACTATGACCAAAGGCAAAGTCTTGGCTGGACAAAGTATAACAGTAATAGTACCTCATACATGATTTACCATATTCCATACACACCCGATCAATTTCAATTTCGGATTACCTCTTTAGCACCTTCTTCAAACACTTGACTTCCACAGCAGATATACGACGTATTTAGGGTGCGCTAGCTGATGACCGACCCTGAAGCTAGCAGCCTAGCCTATGTTTCACTAAGTCGAGTCATGGGGAAATAAAAGTTGCCCAATAATATGGGCGATACGATACGTACCTGTGTAAGGAATTGCCAATTTGATGAGTATACAAATCGCATTTTACATCCAACCGCTTTGCACATAAACACTGATGGGGGAGGAGGGGGTTGGGGGGGGGGGGGCAATTAGCCCCCAAATAAAATTCAAACGTGGTCTATTTCTAATTCGATACCAGTGATTTACAAATGTTGCTGAAATGACATGATTTTAAAGTTTTTTTCCTCACTTTGGCCCATTATGCCAGAGGCGAAACTCCCGGTACGGGGGGGGGGGGGGGGGGGGGCACTGTGCCTTTTTACATTGGTAAAGAGCCCACTTTCCTTTCTAATAATTGTCCATTTCCTCTCTTTTCACCTCTGATATTTTCACCCCTTTTTTGTATACTTAATTTGATTCGTACCCCATTTTCTTTTTTTAATAAGTGTACTTTTCCCTTCGTAATAAGTACCCCCTTCCCTTTCTTTTAAATGCCACCTTTCCCTCTGATAAGTGCCCCTCTTACCTTTTAGTATGAGCCGCTCCTCCTTTTCCAAATGCCCCTTTTACATCTGATAAATGCCCCTATTAAAATCGGATAGGTGCCCTTTTCCTTCAACAGAATCCCCATTTCCATTCTCACAAGTGCCTCTTTTCAACTCTGTTGAGTGTCCCTTTTCAGGTGCAATAAGTGCCATTTTCACTTCTGATAATTGCCCTGTTTACTTTGACACAAGCACCTTTTCTTTTCTAATAACTGTCCTTTCTCCGTAACACGCGTCCCTATAATATAGTTCAAGGCGACTTAGAGCCCCTTAAAAAAAAAAATCTCTGGAGCTCGCTCGCTATATATATACGCTCGCTTGCATGCATTGATGTTATAAGTATGTTATTTATAAAAAGAACTTTTCAGTCTTTTTTCATTAGATTGTGCTTAATACTCATCAGGTTTTTTGTTGTTGTCTTGTTATTAAGATTTTTTTATTTTTTATTTGCACTGAGACCGCACAAGTCTTATTTTTTTGCTCACTCTCTCGATACAGACCATCACACCCAACTGCAAAGTATTTTGCTCAATTCAGTATCTATACCACGTAAAAAAAGAAACAAATATTGATGCCATCCCTGGTAGTGTAATCACAGTCATGACGATGTAGGGGTATATACCAATTTCCAAAAATGATGTATGTTTTTGGATGTTTCCCTTTGTAGGTGCCCATTTATGTTGGTGCCCCCTATTTTGGAAGACGCTCCGTCGCCCATCCATTATACTTGGTGTGTCCTGTCCCCCAACAAGTTTTTGCTCATTACTCCACTGCACATTTATGTGCAGTGGTGTAATACAGTGCGTCCCAGAAAATCGAAACCGAGAATTATCGATGTTTTATCATGATTTAATCATAATCATAATTAAGGAATGACACATATTTGTAAAGCTAAGATCCTTCTCTTTCATCTGATGCAACTCGTATGATGCTTATTTCACGCATGAGTGATTAAAAACAATTTGAAGAGAGGAAACCAAAAAATCATTTGGCGGGTGGTATCTGAATTTCAAAGAGTACATCACGTTTCTAGAAAGTTTATTTTCTGCCCTTTCATGACACCTCAATCAGGAAAAATGAGCCAGGAATAACAAAGTTCTGTTTGTTTAAAGTATAGGCTTGCATTTCCATGATTTAATTAAACGAATTTGTTTTCACTGGCTGCCTGCCGTAGCAACAAACAGAGTTAACAATATACTTAACTCCATTTCGTTGACGATCAGCCATGCACAAAAATCGTCAACGAAACGGAGTTAAGTCTTTTGTCAACTCTACTTGTTGCTAAGGCAGGCAGCCAGTGAAAACGAATTTGTTTGATCAAATTTGAAATGCAAGCTACTTTAAACAAACAGAACTTACTGGCTAATTTTTTTCTGATTTAGGTGTCATATATGAAAGGGTAGAAAATGAACTTTCTAGATATGTGACTTTTCTCTTTGAAATTCAGATAGAATACGAAAGACTTGATGCATGGCTGATCGTCAACGAAACGGAGTTAAGCTTTACAAATATGTGTCATTTATTAATTATAATTGTAAGTAAGTTATGATAAAACATCGATGATTCTTGGTTTCGTTTTTTTTCTGGGACGCACTGTATAATACCCTGACATGACATACGCGTGCACGTTCCATATACGTATTTGTAAGATGCGATCTTTTCAGACACAAAATTGGCAATACTTTATTCATTCGTGAAATATGAAATGGCTACTTTCATTCCCCCTGACTTTGTGGAAAATAAGCGCACAATCCCAAGACCCTATACGTTTTTAGATACATCACTCTATGGTGCTTTCGTCGTAAGTTCAGACTGCGTGGATTAGCAAGTAACATGAATTTTGAGATTATGGAAAAATATCATAAAGGCTCAAGGAAATCCCATGGGAGGGGAGTAACTACCCCCCCGGAAAATGTTCCCCGTACGATCGTTGTGAGGCTCCAAAACTAGCTTTTGCCGAAGAGATTTTTTCATCAAAAGGCTTCAAGTTGCAGGCCAAAAAATGAAAAGGTTAAATTCCAACGGCAATTGAAGTATAATACTAATTTAAAACTTTCCTTAAAAAAATATTAAAAAAAAGGGGGGGGGGGGGCTTGAAAATACTTTAAATGGGAAAATAACGACTATTACTTTTCGAATCGATTTAAAAGCTATAGAGCCAGTAAGTGATTTTTAGACCATTGTATCGAATTGTGTACGTTCATAATGTTGCGCAAAGATTCAATCAGATTCAATTTTGGTCATTACAAGAAGTGGGTTATTGATGTAGACAAATGCTCATGTACCCTTTACAGCTCAAACTTCACACGACAGCCCCCCCCCCCCCCACCTAAGGGGCGGCGATCTCCATCAAAGTGTACATAAAATTATATTGCTTGTTTTATACTATCGTTTTCAAATGTAATTCTTTAATAAAACAAAACTTCAAAAACCTGTGAGGCGGGTAGTCACTTCCGTCACTTTCACCCCTCTCGTTCACTATGCTCCCTCCTGGGGGGGGGGGGGGGGTGGTGCTTGGGGGCAGTTGTCCCTCTTAATAACATTCGAACGTGGTTTACTTCTAATTCGATACCAGTAATACAAATATTGCTGAAATGGCATGCTTTTTCCCTGAGCTTCCAGAGGCTCTGCCCCTGGGCCCCTGGTTGCTTATCTGACCGTAATTAAAACGCCTAAAACCCAGAGCTTCCGGGGGCTCCGCCCCTGGACCCCACCAGGGCCCTATTACGGCCCCTGGATGATGCTCATCTGACCGTAATTAAATGCCTAAAAAAACCTGAGTTTCCGGGGGCTCTGCCCGCCTTTACCCCACTCTGATTAGTGACCTGCAGCTGCATGACAGTGTCACAAATAAGGTTTCAAAATATGCTAATCCGACCGTAATTTAATGCCTAAAACCCTAGAGCTTTCGGGGTTCCGCCCCTTGACCCCACCAGGGGCCCCAAGGCTGGCCCCTGGATGCTCATCAGACCGTCATTAAATGCCTAAAACCCCTAAGCTTCATGGGAATACGCCCCTTGACCCCTGCTGGGGCGTTGCCCCTGGACCCCACGCCAACATGATGCGGATTTTTTTTCTCCCCCCAAACTATTTTGCTCATTACGCCACTGCTCCCTCGCATCGTCCCCCCACCCCCCGGTCATGAGAAGATATCGCCGCCCCTACGCCTCCCCAACTATTATCTCTCTCTCTCTCTCTCTCTCTCTCTTTCTCCCTCCCCTCTCTTTCTCTCCCAGACTCTCCCTCTCTTCCCCTCTCTGTGTGGGATGCGTGTAAGGGAGGAGGACATAATTATAGATGATTGAAGAATAAGAAAATATAAAACCGGACAGAATCTGGACTACCCTTTCTCTCGCTTATCTTCCCTTTTTTAAAACAAACTTCTTATTACCTCCCACAAGACACTAAATCATTTTGCAGTAAAGCTATCAAATTGTAAGTACACTGTACTTTACCCTAAAATAGAGGTTTCACTATTCTCACTTTATAGGTTGAACTCTGTAAATGCACAAAAGAGCAGTGTATGTTAAGTCTGTTTTCACTGCCGAAAGTGGGGCAGATTTTTCCTTCTATATCTGGGGAAGACCGGGTTAGGGGGGGGGGGGGGGGGGGTGAATCCCCCTATCCTCACAAGCCTGATATCTCTCTAGAAAATTTTGAAGGGGCAAATCATTTTTCCCATAACATCAATTATGTTGTAGTTTAAGAAAGATTTTGTATCACTCTAAAAATACATAATTCCATCAACATCAAAGAAATACAAATTTCCTCCCTCGGTCGCCAAGCTCTCTTGCACATTAAATTGTATAGGTGTGGCGTTACTTGAGATAGCACTAACCCTGTCTCCCAGAGGCTCTATGCGAGGGGCAGATACCTTCTTCTATATATTTGTCACCCCCCCCCACCTTTACAAGACTGTAATTCTGAGTATAACAAAGAGGGACAAAAAAGAGAATTACTTAAAATAATTTTGGTGTAAAACGATGTATATTAATAAGTTATGTTTGGCTCTTAAATACACATTAAAAATTAAAAATTCAACTTTTTACTTTCTTGGTTGGTACGCTTCGGAATCCTTGAAATATAGTGGATGCAGTATTTCTTGTTCATTGCAAAAAAAAAAAAACGCCCCGAAGTTTGGATACGGTAGGTGCTAATTTAGATCTTATTTGTATCGTCCTCCTCGGAAAACGAAATGAATCATCATTCAGCCCCATAATGGAAAAGGTTGCTAGCGCTCTCACTGAGCTTTGAAATTAAAAAACTTATAAAAAGAGATTCTCACTCGATCGCTACGCTCCCTCGCCAAGGAAACATTAGGCTGCAAACTCCACGCAGATGTAGTCGGGGGGGGGGGGGGGTTCTTGGTTGGTAGGTCCTCCAAAATACTCGTTTGAGTGTTAACTGGAGGTATGGATAGGGTGTATAAACAGGCCCGTAGCCACGGGGGAGGGGGGGGGCACAACAATTTCCAAGATCGGTTGAACTTTTTTAGTAGACCCCTCCCCAGGACGTCGATCAATTACAATATGTCCCCCCCCCCCCCCCCCCCCCCCCCAACCAATCATCAAACTCTGGCTACGAGCTCCATCGCTCTAGTCCCTATAGATCCGCCCATGACTTTATAATGTTTCCCGTTCAAAAAAGGAAGAAGAAAACAAAGCAATAAAGAAATACAGAAAATTAGACAATTAAAATTATCAGAAAACGTCTGTCCTTGACTTCTCCGTTCGATGTACATCGTAATGTATCGAGTGGTATGTCACACATGCACAGGAAGTTGAGCGCGATTGAGACCTCTCCGTAATGCAAGTTCTGTGCACTACATGCACTGCACTGAACTATGATTTGCAATACGATTTGAAGTTTTAAACCTTCTCGATATCTACAACTACAAGTACTTGGAAAGATGGGCTGCATGTGTACACTAAGGCTGCATTTATTTACGGGTTCCTGACTCTTTTCCACTTCGTGTTTGTGTGATAAATGCTGCAGATAGATCTAGATCTATTTATTAGAGGCTACGCCTACGGTAACCGGTAGCAGAGCGTAGCGTAGCACACATATAACCTGTATTAACAGCATACCGTATGCGAACCGGTAGTCTACAACAAGATGACAGCGGCAAATATACCGGTGCCTGTGCTGGAGCGGATATTTTCATATTTGGATTTAGCGGAATTACTTTGCTGTTCACTTGTTTGTAAGGGTTGGTACGATTGTCTTTACGATGAAAATAGCCCCGTCTGGAAAGTGCAATGCCTACGCAAATTAGCAAAAGACGCTGTCAATGGTAAACTTCTGCAGCATCTCCCTTCATACAAGTCGAGACTGCGGTCGTTCCACCATGCATTCAACCCTAATGACTGCTCCCGTAACATTTACATCCGACCAAACGGGTTTACACTGCACAGAAACCCTGTCGCACAGAGCACGGATGGAGCAAGGGGGAAGAAGGGCTTCAACGAAGGGAGGCATGCTTGGGAAGTATGGTGGGAAGGGCCTTTAGGAACTGTAGCCGTTGTTGGTATAGCCACCAGACATGCTTCAATGCAGTGCCAAGGATATGTAGCCCTTCTTGGCAACAATGACCAGAGCTGGGGATGGAACTTGGTAGATAATCTTCTTATTCACAATGGGGACCATCAAGGCAACTTTCCAAATTGCAATAATGCTCCCAAGTATGAGGTTAGTATTTTACTGCATCAATATATTATTACTTACTTACTTACTTACTTTAATCCATCGATGCTTGTAGGGCAATGCCTGTTCATCGATCATTGGGTTAAAAACATTTCCATCTCTCTTCGGGCGTAAGTCTTATCAAGTGAACATTTGTCTTTCATACATACATGTATGTTTAAACTGGATAGTGATGTGTGTGCATGGAGCAGAATCAGTTCTCAATTTGAATTTCTCTCTCCTTCGGGGTCAAAGACGGTAGGTAGATTCTTCCAGTGTTTGTCTAGTCTGTTTTTGAAGGAGTTTACTGAAGGAGCTGAAACTACCTCTTCTGGTAGATCATTCCACGAGTCAACCACTCTGTGAGAGAAGAAGAATTTTCTCACATCCAGGCGTGTGAATGATTTTTCCAGCTTTAGTGAATGACCTCTTGTTCTTTCTCCTCTGTGAAGATGTAGGAATTCTGCACCAGCATTGTATAAGTCATGCAAATACTTATAGACTTCGATCATGTCTCCTCTCCTTCTGCGATGGACAAGGGATGGCAACTTCAGTTTTCTCAGTCGTTGTGGGTAAGACAAGTTCTTCAGGCTTGGTACCATCTTAGTGGCTCTTCTCTGTACTGTTTCCAGTCTTCTCCAGAGCAGAGGGGTAGGTAGGGAGGTGGATCTTACAATCATTTGTTGATGTTGTGTAGACTAGACCCTAGTCATCTCTAAATTAGTAAAGAAAGGCTGATTCTCAATTCTGGTGGAACCAACATTGATGGATTAAAGTAAAGTAAAGTAAAGTACAGTAATAATAATTTACTTTCAGTTTCAAGAAAATTATGAGAAAAACAGATACAAAAAGAAAAAAAAAGAGCAGAATTTGGTGAAACTTGTGAAAAAGATGCAAATTTGAAGTAGATCACAAGCCATTCATGCTTTCAGCATCAGCATCAGTGAACGGAACTGAGAGAGGTGATCCTGTTCAAACTTCCGGTCGTTTCATCAAGTGGTGCTTGATTTTACCCTGAACTATTAAAATTCAATTTCACTTTTTTAATAAATCAGACGGTTTCAGAACCTTTAGTAATTTACAGAAGTTCTGGTGTCTGATTTTTCTTCCTTACTTAGACGGTAGACTATATTTTTGATTTTTGAGGAAAAAAGAAGCAAATTATTATCCTTGTGTACCTTGTGTTGCCTACATTGGAAATATTTAGACGAGTGTGTGTTGAATTTTGAGAAGTTTTCAAAATAAGATTAAGACCTTTGGATTATCAGGATGCGATGTTACCCGTATTCATTTATTGCATTTGAAAAAGGACATGTACAGGTATAACATAAATTCCTTTTTTTCCTTTTAGATTTGATTGTCTTACAATGAGTCTTTAACTGAGACTCGCAGACCTGGCTAAATGCCTTTGACATGTTCGGTACAATTGTACATGACCATGTACATGTCTTGCCTACTCTTAAAAGTTTCTTAAAAATTACCTAAGTGGTCAGCTGGAAATTACTCACATTATAAAGGTACACCTGTAATTGTCTGAACATACATGTATGTGTGAGGCTTTGTCTATTTTGGCCAAAGTTGACATGGATGATTAAATGGATTACCTTGATGAAGTTTTTTGGTTTCTTTTTTCTTCTTTCTCTTTTGCACCATGGTAGCTGAACTTTTGCTCAAGTTTAATTATAATACATGAAGTATATACAGGAAGTCACTCAAGTACTGTCTGGTGTACAAGATCATCCTATCAAATTCCTAATTTATTACTTAGTGCTCAAGCCTCAAGGCATATTAGTATGTAGACCGAATTTTCCGTCTCTTTCGTTCGTTAGCCTCTTATTGGGGTAGGGTCGGCTCTCTCTTTAGAGACGGAAACCGTCTATACACATTCCCTTGATAACGCCACGGCCATTTCAGGTCGTAGCGTTTTGCCCCCCAAATCCCCCAAAATGTCATTTTACCTCGTGCATATCCACATGTAAATTAGGCCTAGGCTATAATACATCGGTTCCACTTAACAACTTGACTGAAATAATCAGTTTAATAGTCCCTTTTTAGGAAATTATGGGTCAAAATCGAAATCCATTTTGAAAATCTTTTTCAACATGGATTTCGATTTTGACCCATAAATTCCTAAAAAGGGACTATTAAACTGATTATTTCAGTCAAGTTGGTAAGTGGAACTGATTTATTATAGCCTAGGCCTATTTTACAATATAACATGCACGAGGTAAAATGACATTTTGGGGGATTTTTGGGGCAAAACGCTACGACCTGAAATGGCCGTGGCGTTATCAAGGGAATGTGTATAGACGGTTTCCGTCTCTAAAGAGAGAGCCGGCCGACCCTACCCCAATAAGAGGCTAACGAACGAAAGAGACGGAAAATTCGGTCTAATTAGTATGGAGAGGAAACTGTCTTATAAGGCGTGTCTGCACTATCTCGAGATTGCCAAATATCCAGCTATTTGAACTATCCCGATCGCAAACTATCCAGCTAATTTGCGTCTTCATTAGACCGAAGTAGCAAATTAGCCGGATAGTTGGTCGGGATAATATCCCAAGATATCTCGGTCTAGTTTGCGGTTTTCCGTGTTTACTCGAGGTCAGTGGTTGTACTAGCGCGCTGAGCGGTATAGATCGCATGTGCGAACCGGAAATCGTTGTGCATGATGGGATCGGGATATTTGACTCCGTACTTCGGTCTAATGAAGACGGTCGTGAACTATCCCGCTAGTTCGGAAATAGTGGGATATTTTGCAAACTAGACCGAGATATCTTGGGATATTATCCCGACCAACTATCCAGCTAATTTGCTACTTCTGTCTAATGAAGACGCAAATAGCTGGATAGTTTGCGATCGGGATAGTTCAAATAGCTGGATATTTGGCAATCTCGAGATAGTGAAGAGGGGCCTACTGAGTGCTATCAACATGGTCTTTGTGATGATAATAGGGACTTTTAGATTTGCACGTTGACATATTGGACTGCTACGTAGCAGTCCAATATGTCGACGTGCAAATCTAAAAGTACCTATTCAGTATTGTAATTACGTGACAGTTTTAGTCTTTTAGACCATTTTTACGTACATGTACATGTAGGTAACGTTTCTCTACAAATGTGAGATTTGTTCAGGGTTGGGCGGTAAATACCGGTGGCGGTAATTACCGGCGGTAAATACCATCCGGTAAATAAGATGCACATCCGGTAAATATGTAAAAAACGGGAAATATGATTTTAATTCTCTATTTATTAATAATTTTACTTGTTTTTAGCCTCACAACTGAAAATATTGTTCTGAAATAATTAGCAGCACAACACTCATAGTAGAAACACACAAACAGATTTATAAAACCCTCACTGCATACATGTACACACCCAAACACATGGCATTTTGTTCATATGCTAATTAATAGGTATTCATGAATATGGTAATTAGCAACTGGGAACCAAAACCTTCATACCAAGTTACTTTTATTGTAAAGTTTAAGATATTTTAATAAAATCAGTGAAAATTTTAACAAAATCGGGCAAGGAATAAGGAAGTTAAAGCTTTTTGAAATGATTAGTCACTAGAGGGCGATATTCAATTTGATGACATCATTTGTGGACAGCTCTCCATGCCTTTTGGACATCAAATTTCATGTTTTTCCTTCTTTCTTGTGATTGAGATAATCTACTCCCCTGAAAGCAAGGTATAGCATGCAAAATGATATTCTGCTTCACATGTTATGAAGTCGGATCAAGAACACAAATAAATACAAAGGAAACGAAAGAATTGTAGTAAAATATAGCAGTGCAGCTCAAGTCAACAATCATGTCAGACTACATGTACATGTAGTTTTGTTCTTGTGTGAGTCTTGCAACTGGTGGCACCATTGGTTTTTCTGCACTAAACTACTCTTTCTGCCTTCCTTCATGTAGAAATTCCTGCATTTTTTTACAAGTGGTAAGTTGCAAAGTGAATTTCTCCCTCCATCTTTAACTGTGAAAGTGAATGTTTGAGAGCATGAATTAACCTCCCTTCATTTTTACCTGAGGTAGTTAGTGTTATGTGAGTTCACCCTACTTCATTGATTACTAAATATTTATCTTGTGTTTTTGAGCCTTGATTACTTCCTACAGTACATCAGTAATTTTGTGGATTCCTGCATTCATCCTTCATCAGTGAGTGAGAATTTGTACCCTTTTTCATATAGAACAGAATTTTTTTCATCAACTCATCACAGTCAGATTGCATGTATAGTCTGCCTTTGGCTGCTGTACATTACAGCATTCTGCCGTATAAACCTGCACCGCATACTCTACATAGTTTTGGTGTAGCAACATTGTACCAGTTGCAGAATCCACCCTCTTTCCATTATAGCTGCTCACCACAGATATTTCAACTGTCGAGTTTGCATTTTTTTCCATCTGCACTTCAATGGATACGCCAATTTGAGGTTGGGGCAGAGGCTTTCTGGACACCGCTATTAACTTACAGTTTCCTCCTTCCGGCAAGACTTGCGGGATCGGCCTTCATTGTTTGGGAGAGCATGTCTGCTTTGGACAAGAAGGATTTCAAGAAGGTGAAGACTAAGAGAAACTCTCCCAGGTTTTTGGCCGGACACAGTTTATTGACACATTCAAGTCTTGTATTATGGCCCAAACTCGCCAACCAGGTGAGCCTTTAGAAGTGTTTGCATCGGCCATTGCTTTCTTAGTAGAAAGAACTTTCCCATCTTAGGATAATGCAAAAGGTGGTGAGAGATTTCGACGATTTGTTGCCGGGGTAGACAAACTGCTTCAAGTGCAGATCCTCAAGCTCGGAGCCACCAGGCACACTATTTTGGTATAGTGGCAGCAGTAGATGATCAGGTTAAGGACAAGACACCTGCAGAGTCATCAGTCTTACGGCTGCTTCTGCCAAGACTAAACGATTTAGAAAGGAAACTGTAGGAGATGTCCTTGAAGTTTGAGACAGCCAACAGGCCTAGCGGATCTCAGCAACGTGGTGGCAGCCCATCAGGACGTGGCCATGATGGGAGAAACATGGGACATCGCGGTTCTCCATCACCAACCCGTGACTATCAGAAGTACAGATCTCCAGATCAATTTGCAAGACACAAGTCTCAAGATCAATATGCAAGACGTAGATCTCCAAGCCCTAATTGGAACTACATTTTCACCCTTACAAGAAAGGACAGTCACACAGAAATGCGGATGCATTATCTAGACGCCCAGTAGAGAGCCAAGTCACTCCAAGATCGACGGATCAACTACTCAAGCACACGATGACCCATTCACTGTGTAATGCAATCAAAACTCGCTCATCAAAATCACGACCATCACTGCTCTTGAAGATTCAACGAGGCACTCTGCACCAAATGTCCTTCATCCTAACCGTGGTGTAATTCTTGACAGTGATGTACATGTAGATGTACAACATGGACAGCAACTAGATCAAGACATCAGTACAGCCATCGAATGCATCACAACCATTTCAACAGATCTGTACATCTAGGTTTACACAACCCCCAGATTAGACGTGTGTTGTGGCAGTATCCCAAATTCATCCTCCAAGATGGTAGGCCTATACTCTACAGGAAGAAGAAAGACAAGCTTGGTATAAACCTCTCACTCTGACTCATTATACCAAACTCATTCATCCCAAGAGTACTCCAGAAATTACACGGTGACCCATCATCCGGACATCTTGGCGCACATCGCATGATACAGAGAGCAGAGTCAATGTGCTATTGGCCCTTCATGAACAAGGAAATCTTTGATTTCTGCAACACATGCACAGCTTGCGAGTCCTTCCGGTTACCAAGCCCTATTAAAGCACCAAGCACCCTTACGCCCCATTACCACTACTCGTCTTTTGGAGATGGTCTTTGCCGACATTGCTGAGCTTCCAATTACAAGACAAAGATTTTGCTACATACTCGTTAGGACTTATCATTTTAGCAAATATGTCAATATCTTCCCAATGAAAGATCAGACTGCTCCAACTATCGCCAAACATCTGTTTGAAGAATATGTGAAAGAATATGGTATTCCAGAGACTTTGCACACGAACCAAAGTCAACAGTTCAAATCAAGAACTATGGAGCAAATTGGGCATCAAAAAGTCTAAATCGATGTCCACCCTATCATCCCCAAGGAACTGTCATAGTCGAATGATGTAATCACACCATCAAAGATCAACTTGCGAAGTACATATCTCATCAAGGAGGAGAATGGGACCCTCAAATCAACACAAGCACTCCGCACACCTGCAAACATCACCTGTTCAACCCCTCCTCCTTCTTCATCTGGCAACACACTCCTCGAATACACAACCAACCTATCTGAGGCTCTGAGCAATTGAGAAAAGCATGGGAGTACACCATACAGAAAACACGACGCAACAAAAACAACAGAAACAACAGTTAAAGTATTTTCCTCATCAGATGATGGACAAAATTATGACATCCATGATGAAAGGATCAAGCGACGTGTCAATCATAATTGTTTGAATCTTCATCGAGCCAGAGCCCCACGAGCGATGTTGACTCCACTATCCCCACCAACCGCACTGCCTATGTCAATAGATGGGACTGAGAGGACCACGATACGGTATCCACCAGGT